CTACAGGACAAAATAGATAGCAATGGCCTATACTACGACTCTGCCCCCCCCCCCCCCTCCAGGTCTTCGGTGCCTGGCAGTACTGTATGTACTGTATGCCCTATTACTAACTGTGCACAGTAACCGTTATTATAAAAGTAAAAAACGAGAGATTCTCCTAACACAGCTGTTCAGAGTGGTTCTGATCATATGCATGGAAGTTTAAAAGTACTAGAAAATTTGAGGTTGAGTGAACAGGGGAAGCTCTTTTGCAACTGGTGTACTCAATCTGTCCTTATGTATCTCTCCCTGTTCACGTGTATGCAGTGTGTGTACATGGATATGATATCCTGTTTTAAATATCCTACTATCTGTTGGATATCCTGATATCATGTACCATGAGTATGTCACATATTATTCTCTTGACAGTTAGCTAAGTGGCGGGTGTTTGTAATTGCAGAGTTTCATCTGGAAATATTAAATCGTGACTCCCATCAAACTCTCAGTTAAAAAAGTCGCGAAGTGTTTTTTTTCGGGAATTATTATCTATGGGCGAAGTCTCCTGGAGATTCTGAAGAGATGTGTTTCTGTTGTTGCTGAAACCACCAGGAGCTGTTTTTCAACATAATCTGAAAAAACAGTAGCCTAAAAAGAGGGCAACTGATAAAAATAGCTCTCCACGGAAGTTTGCTGCCGTCCACCCAAAAACAGAATATCTAACAACAATACACAGACAGAATAACGAGCAGCTGCTGTTTTGTAACTCTGAGTTTGAGCAGCTGCTGTTTCTTAACTCTGTGCTTCATGAGCTCAATCGATCATAAGACAAAAGAGAAATATTCCTTTTGCCGATATTTGTGCACTGCAGGTAGCAATGAAGAATATGAATGTGAGCAGAGCAATGGATGCAGCTGCAACTGGGAACATTGTCGCCTTGGTAAGTCAGTGTGCATAATAAAGAAATGAAAGAATAAGGGTGCCAACACTACATGGTGCTAATATATATGTGCGACAGTCTTCCTATGCAAACACACAAGATATTTCCATTCTGTTCAGCAGTGTAAGGGGAAGGGATAACTGGGCAGGGTGCTGCTATGTGTGCGGCAGTCTTGCCATGTGAACACACCAGACTTTACATTATGTTCAGCAGTGTAGCAAATTATTTTCAATGCATGCGGCGGACAGCTGGAGTTTGGAATCTTGTTCTGCCCATGCAGCAACATCTCTTACAAGTGAAAGTTCCAGGCATTGAGTTTACCGCTCTGTCACGGGATGAAGACCAGAAAGCAACTGTGATCCACCGTGCAGCTGAAGCGGGTCAACTAGACTGCCTTAAGTTTCTGATGGGCACTCTGCTATCGCATTCCAGCACGCCTCAGGACGCCACAACCCTGGTGGACATTGCCGATCGGACACCAGCCATGCTAGCACTGCAAGTGAGTACAGCTCAAACAGTGTACTTTAAATTCCATCCGCAGAGAGTCAGAAGATACTCTCTTCTTTTCATTGTGCAATCTTTATCAGAGGACCAGCACAGCAGAACGAACAGTTTCTGACTCTACATTCAGAACAATGAGTGGACATGATCTGCTATTAGGCCACCCAGAATTAATTCGTTGTTTCGGGTCACCCGGCCGACCGTCTTTTTCACCCGACCGCAAAATGTTTCTTTATTGTGCATGCAAATGTTCATCACTAGACTATGTACACAGATGATTCTAATAATAGCAGTCCAGACATCGACCTCAGAAGCAGCCAAATTACAGGATATCCGATGCAGCACTTGGTGACCATATTGTCTTCTATTATTATGTCCGATCCGCAATCGATCCTGAAACAGCATCAGCTCCGCCACCGCGTTGCTCATTAACCGAAATTTTCAAGGTGACTCTGAGAGCTGCTCGTCAGACTCGTTTGCCAGGGATGGATTGTCTGCAGTCAGATTTGATCGACTGGCTTGATGGAAAAAGCTATTCGATATGCACAATTGCACATGTATATGTATGCACATTGCAGTAACCAAAATAAAAAAATAAAAAATTGAAAAATACATCCGGCCGACCGACCCTGGTACGGATGGGTGAAGTGACCTGAAACAACGAATTAATTCTAGGTGGCCTTGTGGGATTACGCTCTGACGCCATCTTGACGAATAGTGCACCTTCTCTAGCTAGGCTATGGATTACCAGTTGACTGGGTAAGGTTAAGGATGGGAGGATTGGATTATGTTGCACACATTACACGTGGTGGTTTGCGGATACAAGTTCTGAGGTATGAATTCGGAGCGAAGTTCTGAGCTGTGAAAAAACATTTATGTGATATGATCATTGCTCTGCATTTCAATAGGGGCATAACCCGCAAAGCAGGGCTGTCCTTTTCGGTGAGTCTGGATTAAGTGGGAGTTCACCTCAAGGAAGCAGTGAATGGAATATTCCATTGCCGGCCACTCCATAGTTGTTGGTCTGTGATACTGGCTAATGCGATAGTAGCTGCATGTGCATCATGTTCCTTGAGTTAAGCGGTTAGTGCCCCAATGACCCGCTGATGTCGCCACATCTCTACTTGCACAGTTCTGCTGCACCTCAGAATTAATATCCTGTGGGAGGTATCAGTCAATAGAGTTATCCTGTGGGAGGTATCAGTCAATAGAGTGTGTGTATCCTGTGGGAGGTATCAGTCAATAGAGTGTGTGTATCCTGTGGGAGGTATCAGTCAATAGAGTGTGTGTATCCTGTGGGAGGTATCAGTCAATAGAGTGTGTGTATCCTGTGGGAGGTATCAGTCAATAAAGTGTGTGTATCCTGTGGGAGGTATCAGTCAATAGAGTGAAGAGCCATGCCACAACTCTATCACTCTTCTGTTTCTGTGATATGCCCTGTCTATGCTCTGTCGCTAGTGTGTCACACACATTTGTCTGTGTTTGTCCTTTCTGCTGTAGAATGGTCACTTGGATTGTTTGGAGTATTTACTTCAGTGTGGTAACAGCGATCTAGAGATCGATGACCATGGACATACGCTACTGCATCACGCTGCCTATCATGGTCAGACACAATGCTTGGGGTACCTGCTGGACTTGGCAAAGAAAAGTGGCAAGGATTTGAATGGTGAGGACCAGGGAGAGTTGATAGAACAGTAATAATTATGTAAGATGGGCAAGCTGTTGTAGGCGTTTTTCCCTTGTCAGCGTATGCAAACTTTTAATACTACTACTGCTGTCGCACGCCCCATGTTAGATACGCAATTCAAAGTGAAGGATACTAACACCAAACAAATGCAGTGCAGGAGCGTCACAGGGCAGTGGGGAGTGATGCAACCGGGATACGAGGGGGTCCCAGGGGGAAAATCGGATTTTTTAGCACTCTACAGGCGCTCTGAGCAGACAATCCTGGACGAAAAGCAATACGACCATAGTCTAACTGGTCGTACCGTGCCTGACACGGCTGCCATGGTTGCATCTTGTGCTGTTTGTATTCTTCAGAGTATTCTGATGATGTGGATGTAACGCCAGCCCATGTAGCTGCACAGCAGGGCCATATCGACTGCTTGCGTCTGTTGGTGGAGAATGAAATGGATATCTGTCAGTCGGATGTGGACGGTCTCACTCCACTGGACTGGGCCAGCAAGGCCAACGAACCACTGTGTCAGCACTATCTAACCATGGTCGAGAAATGCTGGGATCTCACCGACCAACTCGAACAAGCTCAAGAAAAGCTGGACAGGTCAGTTGCATGAAGCAAGATTAAATTCACGAAGGATTGAAGTTTGGCAAAAAGAGGCTGAAAAGGGCTCGATGCACAAAGTGAAGAGGGTTTCGAGAGAGCTAGTTTGGATTCGTCGTAACTCAAGATTAAACTCAAAGGGATGATGGAATAGCATCCTGCCAAACACAGCATGCTGTACAGGAGGCGGTTTCCACTGCTCACACCATGGATAACAGCGGTTAGCAAAGCTTTCTGGTACAGAAGTTAGAGCAGTGTGTTTCAACTCAGAGTTTCACACCAATCGATCATCAGACAAAGTCCTAAATATATTTTACATTATGCTGTGGTGCATTTTGGGTAAAGTAGAACTGTGTGTATTTGCAGGCAGACATAATCACATTCGATCCATTATGCTGAGAAACTGCACAGGCAGACCAACTTAGTGTCCTAAAATATCACAATCGGTGTAAATCACAACGGCATGGCCAGAGTTTTCTGCCTTTCGATCCACATTTGTAGATGTGAAAACTAATATCTTTGCTGCGGCCGTGTTTTATCTCTCTTTGCTTTCAACTACCAGGGCTGTCCGCGAGGTGGGGCCTCTTCGTGACCAGCTAGATGAGGTATGTCAATTTGGAGGGAAGGAGTATCTCCACTGCACGTACCGTGGACTACTTTGAAAAGTGGACAAGTGAATTGGTTCTTGAATTGTCTAATTTTAGTTGCAATGAATAAATGAGCCCTGAAGATGGGCCTTGCCTGAATAGTCTGGTGACGATTTCAAGTGATTGGTGTAGCCCAGAGACCGCTTGTAGAGTGCTGTGAGGACATTGCATAGCAGGAGTCAGAGGGTACTGGGTGGAATATCTGAGCCCAGGAATAACAATTTGTGAGTAAACTCTGTGTTGTGGACTCTAATCCATATGCACTGAACTGCTGTTTGAATGCTGTCTCGTTCAACTCTCTTCAGGCTCAAGTGAAGAAAAGCAATTTACAGAAGACACTGGATGTAACCAAGGCCCAGTGTGATAAAAAGATCGAGCAGGTACGCACGGCAGAGTTGTGATCAGAGTAATGCATGGTATCAAAAAAAAAATGGCTGTACATGCAAACGTCAGGAGTGTTGCCAAAGCAGCGCCTTGCATGAATTGGGGGGGGGGGGGGGGTGGGGGCTATCCCAATGAGGTGGGTTTACATCACCTTTCCACATTTAGTACCAAATAATTGGTTTTTTAAAAGAATGCAAAGACTCGCAGTAAGTAGATATCACTCAATACATCCATACCACACTCAAATACTCTCCATGAATGCTAGGCAAGGTCAAACCCATTAATAGGTCTTCAAACTGTTCAACTGAAACTGCCGTATTAACGTGGTCACCCATGTTGTGTTGTCATAGTCACCATCTTGTGTTGTCATAGCCACCATCCTGTGTTGTCATGGTGTTCGTCTTGCCTTGTAGCGGTCTTCGTTTTGTGTTGTCGTTATGACTGTTTCAAAAGAAGGATCTACGAATAGGATTCAAAACCCAGCACCCCTGTGGTTCCTGGACAGTGCCCTATCGATTAGGCTACCAGAAATCACACACTCGTGACGCCTTCTTTCTACAGTCACCATACTAAGTATTGAGGCTAAACATACAGGGCTAGTAGGAACATTCTCTTGAGGTTGTTTGTTCTGTCAACCCTCAACTTCTGTGTTTTGTTAGTGTTTTGTTGCCCTCCTTGCAGTCTTGTTATCTTCCTCGGTGTTTGTGTTGAGCCGGGCGTTGTGTTCCTTTGCATGAAACAACCACATGTTTGGCCACATGGCCTCATACTGAGTTCTGCTTTGTTGTGTTGTTGACGTGATCTGAACATTCTAGAACGAAAGAGATTGCGCCAAAGCACTCACGGCATTTTTGCATCTTCTGTCGCCGGAGCAGGTAAGTCATTGATTGCACTGCCAAGGAGTGTACTGACAATTGCACTGACTACCACTCTAGCAATTGCCCGATGTTCTGTGAGATGAAGCTGTCCATCTTTTTTTCATCCTTTTCATGATGCCTGTGACATGGTGTGATGCCGAGACACCTGTTAGCTGGGCACTTCTTACCCTATCACCAATCCCGCAATTATATGCAGGCCCCCTCATTGTCCTCTGCAACGGCTTCCTCATGATTTGTTGGGCTGAGGAATAAGTAGAAAATCTCTGTAGTCTCCTCGTGCTCCATTGCCGCTGCTGGCTCTGCCGCCGCCTCCGCCGCAATCACCATCCTAGAAAGTACTGCATTGACCACCTTGTACAATGAGAGCAAAATGCTGTGTCGGCTCTGAGAGTGAATTTTCGTTAGACAAAGTAGAGAGGTTAAGATGCACGTTATTTCCGACATGACGCGCAAGTTCACATCAAATTTGACGTAAAACTCCAAATTTGGACGTGAGCTGCAGGTCACTGGTGCTGTTTTTCGATGCGCGAGCCAAATATCGTGAGCTGAACTTTCGCATCACGTCAGAAGCAAAGTGCATCTTAACCTCTCTAATGTATCAACAATTTAATAATAATAATAATAATGTCTGAGGTCCGTGCTGCAAAATAGTGCTCAATACCCTAAAAAGGGCAGAGCGTACTACACAAGGCAAAACAACAACAGAGACCGAAAGCGTTCTCGCAACTCTGAGTTTCGTGGACAAAAACTCAGATGTGTGCTCGTGCACGGGGAGCTCGGAGTCGAGAGGAAGATATTAGTCTCTGTTGGTCTGCCTGGTGAATTATTGTTATGCATGTTGCGGCATATTCATTCATTTCGTATGTTTTGCTTCCCTGCTTCGTTCACACAGCAAAAGACCATGTGCCAACAGCTGCCGACCTCTCTACTCAGTGCTCTGAGCCTGTCACAGAAGAAGTTATCCTCCGACCATCCGCTGCCGGATAAATCTCGCAGCCTACCCCGGCAGTTAGATTCCGACCCGTCCTCACCGACTTCCAGTGAAGGTGACAGCTCAGATGATCGCAGCACATCATCCCAGCAATCGCTTGGTGCGGACAGTGGCTGTGGATTGGACATGAGCACAGCACTAACCAATGACGACAATAAGCAGTCAAGGGAAGAGTTAGTATGAGCTGCATGTCAGGCCCGACCGAACCGGTCTGCTTGGTCAGGCTGCTTGGTCAGGCTATCACCAGACCAACCTTTTGGCAGCCAACATGTGTGTACTGCCTGAGGAGGAAGTGTGTACCCGTCGTATCATACACAAAGTGTGTACACGTCGTATCATACACACAGTGTGTACCCGTCGTATCATACACAAAGTGTGTACCCGTCGTATCATACACACAGTGTGTACCCGTCGTATCATACACACAGTGTGTACCCGTCATATTATACACACAGTGTGAAAGGATATGATAATACAGGAGCAATAGTCCTTATGCACATTGTACAGAGGTACGAAGTTCTGTACTATGGCCGTAGGTGTGTACATACCCGGTTGGGTGTTCATTGTGTGCTATACATGCGCGTTTGACCCATTTAGCCTCACAATTCATGGCAAACGATCACTTTTCAAGCCTTCTTCACTTTGGGATTGAACTAACGACTAGCTAGATCTCTGCCGGAAAAAGATTTCGTATGAAATGCCTTCATGGCCCATTTCATAGTGGAAATAGCAGTAAACACAATAGGGTCCTGCACATTCAACACCCAACCGGGTCTACGGGATTCTACAAGATTATACGGGATTTCGTGCATCTGTACAATGTGCATAAGGCCTATCGAAAACTGCTTCCTGCATTCTGTATGTGCGTGTACATGTGGCAACCTTTCACCCATGTATGAACACCGTGTCCAGTGAATGTGTATCCAAGTAACTCAAAGCATGCCTACAGTGTGTGGAGAGTTCAAGGATGCAGACTGAGTGCATGCAGAGCGCAGTCAGCAAAAAAGACTTTACTCTGTAGTTTCACTGTGCTCCTATTTTGGTTTGAGATTCTCTTCTTGTTTTTCACTGTACAATATATATTTTGTGATCGCGATTTTCTGGCTTTATACTTTGTGTACATTGGTACGGTTATATCATTCTGAGCTAGGTGTTGTGATCAAATCGCACATAACGCATCTATTTTTTTGCAACTTGCAGCAGTGTTAGAATAACATTCCCTGCCACACTATAATTATGTCGAATATACCAAAGTAGACAGTTTCAGCTGTTGCAGCCAAATTGGTTAAAGAGCTCCTTTTTTACGTCAATATTGTTGGCTACAGTTTCATTGTTGTCTAGAAGGTGATTCTTCTGGCAAAGTGTTTCCATCACCGCTCGTTGTGACAACAAAGGCTGATATGGGTATGTGCATACCTGCTGTACATAATTATTCTCAACTTCGCGCACTTTGAGTCTTGGCAACTGTGTGATTAGTTTTGAAAAGTATTGATTGTGTCATACAGTAGCATTTATGAAGATGTGCCTTGCCCTACAATTTGAATGATTGTCTCCTTCTTCTTTTAGTGTTTGGTGTAGCCCAGAGACCGTTTGAAGAGTGTGTGGAAGGTGGATGGATACGCGGTATCTTATTAAACAATCGACGAGGAGACAATAGTCGTAAAATGGCAATAAATAAGATAAATTGTGCACTCATAACAACAGCAAAAATGAAGAAAGTCAAGTTCCATAACGTTTTCTTGTGACTGTCATCAGTGGAACGCCGTCACATTAAATGTAATAACTAAAACACACACTTATATACATGTAGCTAATATGGTTTCAGGTAGAAATACAGCAGCTAACAAGTACAAAAAAGCGACGTCTGCAGTGTACAAGCATTTGGTGTCCAGTCCAGAATGTCGTAAGATGTTTGACGATTCCTGGTTTAGTGTTATTCGTTGCGCACGTTTCTTCAAGCAACTGCAGGTGTTGGAAGCTGTGTATATTCGTACTCGTGACCCTGTGCTATGTAAACAGAAAGAAAACGTTGTATCACTCACACTCTTCAAATAATACACACGCACCATTACATTCATTCACACAGTATCACATTCATCTGCCACTACCTTTCTCACATACACTATATTCACACATTGCAAAGGTGCAAACTTCGCTTTTTTGTACTTGTTAGCTGCTGTATTTCTACCTGAAACCATATTAGCTACATGTATATAAGTGTGTGTTTTAGTTATTACATTTTTATGTGACGGCGTTCCACTGATGACAGTCACAAGAAAACGTTATGGAACTTGACTTTCTTCATTTTTGCTGTTGTTATGAGTGCACAATTTATCTTATTTATTGGTATCTTATTATTTATTTATTATAGGCTTTTGCGCGTTGGCATCGCCAAGCAAGCTTGGCTAGCCTTCGCATAAGCTGCTCCATAATGATGAGACGAAACAATGAATGCATGTATATACGATCTAGGACGGAACCAAGGTTGAGGATATTTTTGAACGCGGTATCTCTTAAGGGGGGCAGCCTACCCATAAATTTCATATGGCATTCAATTGACCGTAACTTTTGTGTTTCTCAATGGATTAGAGTGAAATTTTGACCACACACTCCTGCCACTATGCTGGCCCTCAGGACATGATTTACAAGTTCTTGCCCCTCACTGACAGGCTTTCCAGGCCGGAAAAACTCAAATTTCCGGCATAGTGCCACGGTGTGCGAGCCACCCAGGAGCCAAACAAATGCATTTACAATTTTTTCACATATTCGTGCTCATTCTGTCCGTGCGCGGGACCCAAACCTAAAACAAGTCCAGAAGCAGCCATGGGTGATGGGGTAGGGCCCCTCAACGAGGCCCTGGAATCTGTCACAACGGAACGAGTGGGCGTTCTCTCACAGACTCACACAGACCCAAGTCAATTTTTGAATTGTTCTAGGTTTAGCACGTGCTACGAGGTCGTACCTTTGATACAACATCCAGTGCTGGGACGTCCACAGCAAGGCATTTCCACAGCGCTGCACACCAAATCCAGGATACCCTCAGAAACCGGCAAAGACTACCACTCACGTTTCACTACTGCCTAGTAGTACTGAATCCTACCTGACTTCTTGACGCGACTCAAACTTGCCAAAGCCACTAAATCAACGTCAACTACAATAATCATGCCACATACCTGCAACGTCACGATGGTGCTGGCAAAAGTCCTGCCGCCGTGCAGCCCAATACGTAGTTTTTTAACGTGATTTTTGGACTTTTTGGGACTTGGAACAAAATTCTGCACACTGTCGCGTGTTTCAATGATACGACAAGTTGCACACGGTCTGCTCACATTCAAATGCAGTGTTGCCAGCAAATGACAGCGTGCAACAAAAAAATCTTTCCTTGCAAGGGCACATTTTCGGCCATAACTCTTGAACGGCTGGTCAGATCGGGACACAATTTTCAGAGAATTTGCAGCTATTCATGCTCTTTCAACTGACGTAGCACTCGATATGAATTTACAGATTCGATTTTTCAGCGAATTTTTGGGTAGTCTGCCACCTTTTAAAACACTTGTTTTGTCGGCCGTGATGATTTCTAGCTTCTCTGCTAAGCAGAGGTTACACTTCCAGCGCTTAGTTGTTGGGCTGCAGACTTGGCTCTGCGCTTGATGTTCCATGACTGGTTGTACTCTTGACCCTGGTTTTGGAGAGACCAAACGTAGATGCTTGAAAGCTCGGTGGAGTTACGGTGTTTGTGGTGCCGCATTGATGTATTTTGGTTAGCATGACGAAGCATGGAAGGGCGTTTCAGTAGACCGAACGTAATAGTTGGGGCCGTTTGCGCCGCCCTCAGCTGCTTCGTAAACGACACAATCGGTCTGACATGCTCAACGCAGCTGACAGTTTACCTTGTCACGGCAGTTGCAGTTGCTTTTCTTGAGCAGTTGAATGTACAATCATGTAACTAACTACTTGGCTTGGTTGTGTCCATTGATGATTAACGAGACATTTGGAGGCAACAGTCGCTTATCTTGTTGAAGATCTTGGCCAAAGGGAACCTGCTGGAAAATACCACTTGATGAGTTTCAAGAGGACGGCCCCAACGGTGGTCGTGACTTTTTTTAAGTTCGCTATTTATAGGTGCCACTGAACGCGTGACAATGCGCAATTGCAGTTCACTCCACCATTTCCACCATAACTTACGTTCTGTTTGCTTGATTTTGACAGTCTAGGGCTCTTTGAAACGCTCTTTCCGCTGCCAAGAGAATGAGGCCACGCTCAACTCCGTGGGTGCCACAAACCCTGCTCCAGAGCGCAGGGAATCGCCATAGGTCGGGCCTCGTGTTGAAAGAAATACTTCTAAATTTCATCCCAATGCCATTTCGCTGTCGTTTCTTGCACAGCTCTGGATTTTTTTGCATCTCAATCAGTAGTTTCGACGTCATGACACCCACACGTCATCAGCTGGCTGCACACCACGTGATCCACGGGAAATCCCCGAAGCACGAGGCAAAAAATGATTTTGAGACGTTTGAACAATTATTTAGTGCCGCGATCCAACTTTCGAGCACCATATCTATATCATCGTTTCTCCTGTCGCAAAAGCGATTACACCATTGGAAAGCTTGGAGCTTCCTCTTTGATCTACATATTTCGATATTTGCAACAGGACTAAAATCGATGGAGTTACGACAGTTACGAGTTACAACAGTTTTACAGTACGTACACAATATCAGTCGTTAATGACTGATGCACCGCAAAGGGTTATATAATAATTATAATTATAGTATTAGTATTACTCGAGACGGGTACATAGTACATGTAAGTTCGCTGTTATTTTTAGTATTTTGATTTAGTCTTGCTTTGCCTTGTGAAGCCGTGGCAAGTGACCTGATCTAGCCGACCTGACAGAAGCCCCGTTCAGTGCGATGATGCATGTGTGTCAAGCGCGTGGGTGATTCACTACCACTGGCAGCGCTGGGCCGCAAACAGTCATGATGCTATTTCTGTAGGTTTGAAAATGCACAATGATTATGTAGTAGTAGTACTGAACCTGTGAGTATGAGTAGCTGTTGAAGGAACGACACGAACTAAACTGCACTGCGACATGAACAATACTCGTACTCACTGATCACAGCTGCAGCGAAGTTAGTTGTCTGTACAATACGTCATGTAGTACTAAGTTTTGTACTTGTAAAGTTGTAGTGCCATGGCCTAGGCATAGGCTAGCGGTATGCTAGTGAAGGCATTCGGAAATCTATTATCTTGAACTAGACCCGTTGTTTGTCCATCTACACTGGAGGCAGTTCTAGCTGCAGACGGAATACTTGCTCGAGATGGCGTCTGCCTAAGTGTGGCTATTTGGTATGCGTAGAAACACCTCAATGACCCTGCTCGTTCCTTATCCTTACTTCCAGTTGGCATAAGCAAAAGCTGGCCAAGATCAGTTGCTTGTTGCTTTCAACGCGAATAGCCTGATAACAATAATACAAGTGTGGCGATACATGTATCGCCCAGCGTGAGTAATGGCATTGCATCATGGATATCTAATGGCTGGCCTGCTGACATTGCTATTTGCTGACCAGTGCATCGATCTTTCTCAGGCCACAAGTCAGACGACTAATAGCCCACCCGCCACTACGACTGCTCCAGGTACAGGTACAGGGTGCTAGAGTTGTATCAGTTTACAGTCACAACGCCAGCCCATTACGGATGCATGTGCTATTCCAGGGATCAACTCACGTTGGTGCGTCTAGGTGGCCATGAAGCCGAGACCCTGGGTCGGCGGAGCTCGAGCTCCCTAAACCTCACTACCACTGCCACGATTCAGGTTGTGCGTGCTTCCCCTAGCTGCATCTCATGTTTGGCTTTTAAGTGGTCTTTGTAATAAAAAAATCAATAAAAAACATATTGTGGTAACAGCTACATGATTGTACTGTAGTACAATCATGTAGTACAGTTCTGTAGTACCCGTGTTACTGTAACACATTATCTACTCCTTCACCTGGACTGTGCGACCAAATTAAAGAAGAAATGACCAAATAGAGGGGGAGAGAAAGTGCGTCTGTGGTGAAGTCGGCGAAAGAAAGAACGAGAGAGTCTGAGAGAGAGAGGGAGAAAGAGAGAGATACATACACAGACACACAGAGAGAGAGAGAGAGAGAGAGAGAGAGAGATAGAGAGAGAGAGAGAGAGAGAGAGAGAGAAAGGGAAAGACACACCAATATTGAGAGAGAGAGAGTGAGAGAGATGATAGATAGAGAGATAGAGAGAGAGAGAGAGAGAGAGCGAGGGAGAGAGAGAGCGAGGGAGAGAGAGAGAGAGAGAGGGAGAGGGAGGAGGGAGAGAGAGTAAAGATAGATAGATAGATATAGAGAGAGAGAGAGAGAGAGAGAGAGAGAGAGAGAGAGAGAGAGAGAGAGAGAGAGAGAGAGAGAGAGAGAGAGAGAGAGGAGAGACAGAGTGGGGGAGAGAGAGAGATAGACAGAGGGAGAGGGAGTAAGTGGTAGAGGTTGAATTACGTCAATCTTCTTCACTGTTCTATCAATGGTGTATTCTCCAGGACATCAACCATCATGCTTGGAGGATTGGCTCGTGTTGGCCGGTGCCACAAGCCATGCGGCGCACCACTTGGCACGTAGCATGCAGGTGAAGCAAGCCGGTTTGGACGAGCATAAAGTCAAGGAATTCAGCACTTTTGTCATTGGAATTCTCCTGGGATTTGACAAGAACTTGGCGAGGGAATTGAAATCATGCATAAGTAAGTCACAGTCTCTTGTATGGGCAAAAATACCATCTTTATCAATAATAGAAATGCAACTAGAACCCAAAACAATTAATGTAAATAACTCACGGCAAATGAAAATAACTTAAAGAAAATGAAAAGAACTACTTGTAAAAGGAAATGAAAAAACTCAAAGCAAATGAATAGAACCCAAAGGAAATGAAAAGAACCCAACCAGCCGCACACGGAGCACAAAAGAGGCAACAGCATAAATAGGTAAACTTCCTCAAAAAACGTATCAATGAAATCTATGAATCTAGACTGGAACTTGAGCCTCCGACACAGCTAGTGCAGCAGACGATGCACCAGCCTCCAGAACCACGGGATGTCCGAACAGCTTCCTGCAGCCTCGGTGACACATATTACAAGACCTAAGTAGCGAGAAAGACAACTTACATCAAACATAGGCCATCACGTGACAATACAACCAAAAGTAAGTGACAGTTGGAGTTTCTTACCTTGCCTGACAGATTACAGTCGCAATTATAGTAGTAGGTTTTTCATTTTGACCCGACGAGACCATACGACGCTTGCAGATCACAGCACAGACAGTTCACCAACGACACTCCACGAAAGCAAGACATAGTAGTAGTACTCCTGACAAGTCTTGTTTCGTTCCATAGAGATAATAACGGGGAACTCATCAGAGGAGAAGCAGTTGTTGAATGAAGGGGTTTAGCTGAATAATGCTATTTTATAGAAACGATATTGGCGCACTGAGGTGTAAACACTCAACTAACTCACATATGTGACATATCAACACAAAAGGATTAGTGCAGGTTGGAGGTGTTCTGAACCCTATCAGACACAACTATGACAAGTGCTAAATCATTCACAATGAGAAGGAGAGGTACACAGGAATAGGTTGCGCTAGCAGCCTTCCTTTCACTATACCGCTGACTGAATTTCAATTATCGAGGTTTGTGAAGTATTTGTCTTGTGCCGCTAGCAATCTTCAGATGTGACGTTAGACGTTCGTGATGATTTGTTGGATTTCACTTGGCGTCTACTTTTCACCTATCTTTGTCACTACCTCAGTACCATTTGTGACGTGTAAACTAGCGCAACCTATTCCTGTGTACCTCTCCTTCTCATTGTGAATGATTTAGCACTTGTGATAGTTGTGTCTTGTAGGGTTCAGAACACCTCCATTCTGCACTATTCCTTTTGTGTTGATATGTCACATATGTGAGTTAGTTGAGTGTTTACACGTCAGTGCGCCAATATCGTTTCTATAAAATAGCATTATTCAGCTAAACCCCTTCATTCAACAACTGCTTCTCCTCTGATGAGTTCCCCGTTATTATCTCTATGGAACGAAACAAGACTTGTCAGGAGGACTACTACTTGCTTTCGTGGAGTGTGGTTGGTGAACTGTTCGTGCTGTGATTTGCAAGCGTCGTATGGTCTCGTCGGGTCAAAATGAAAAACCTACTACTACTGTATTTGACGGACCTATTGAAGATGGCACAAAGAATTAGTCGCAATTATGTAGGACTGTTTCTCTTACTCAGAAAGTGGTGGACATCACGAAACTGCATTTCAAACAACAGGGGGTTTGTCAACTGACAACCGCTCTATTCAGTCGCTATTCACTCTTGCTTTATTAGTGATGTGGAAAAATATTGACATTTCGAGCCAGTCACCCATTTTCATAACCAGTTTCTTTTAGATTAAAAATCTAACCGGAAACAAATGCTTGGATCATTTCCGGGTTTGAGGGATTTTTTTACAAGTGTAACAATCATGTTTCTCAACGGCATACTGGAATCACAAAAAAACTGATCGATTACCAAATTGATGATTCGTTCTTTTCCATCTAAGAGAAAGCAGATTTTGAAACATTTCGGGGTTCGACATGCTTTTTTTCTGGTGCAAACCATTACTCAACGACATGACGCAATCACAACAACTGGATACTTAATATTACTTAGTATGCTTGTACGCTAGCTGCCGCATTATAGCGCAATTATCGTTCACAATTCTTCCGTGCAATTCACCTTGAATTAGTGGGCGTGTTTGTGTGTGTGTTTGTGTGTATGTGTGTGTGTGTCTGCATGTGTGTGTGTGTGTGTGTCTGCATGTGTTTATTATATCGTATGTTGTACATGTATGTGCTTGTGTGCGCGCGCGTGTGTATGTATGTATGTTTGGACTTGTTCAGTGGGCAACACAACATGTCCAGCTGACTCAGAGGTCACACATTTCCCGTGCCAGGACACGGGCCATTGTGTGTATAGTAGTCGCTTGGGTAGAACGCAGTGCGAGTGCGCAAGCGGACTGGTCGGCGACCGATGCCAAACAGGTAATTATGCTGTGAGGCTCTTTTCTTTTTCACATTTCGTACGTTATACGTGTAGTTGTTTAACACTGTAGACAAAATGAATGCAAAACGTAAAATGTTTGGTACCTATGATCAGGGGATGGCCCACGCCTGGTAAAAAGAGTAAATAATTAAAAAAATTCTTTTCCGCCTCTTTCACAATAGCACTTTTATGGAGAACCTTCTTGGAGAAAAACTACAAATCTCAAGCCAATCTTCAGCTATAAGGACTCCGAAATTCATGAACCAGTTTACGGGCATTCTCTTTAAATGAACTACAAGCAACCAGAACCAATGAAACAAAGGGAGGAGTAGCATCACAAGGATGGTAACCTTTACCACTAGGTGATACATTATTTTAGCGAAGAATGTATTCATGAGGGTGACAAGAAAAAGGAAAGGGAGAAAGAAAATCCAGTTTATTTCAGACCTGGATTTTTGAGTTCTATGTTTACTGGTCTTTCAGCATTGTGGTCAGAACTAGTTCTAGTCACTGTACAAGGATATGATAATGTGAACAGTCTTAAATTATTATAGAAAATCCTGGTGAAAAATGCCGCCCACGTTATACCCTTAGTGATTACGACCCCAACACGAACAAAAGAGATGTGCAAAGACTGTGCAGCGGAAAGACTCTAATCCTCTTTACGCCAAGCATTTCCAAAGGATTCCTTCGTACAGCTGTAATCTATTTCGAGAGGAAAAGGCCCTCACGCCCAGCAAAGTCAACATGGAGTGTGTATGTTGAAAATAAGCAAGGGTAAATTTGAAAGTATCCGGTTTGGAGTGGAAAGACGAGTTCGTGTACGGCAGAATACTAGAGGCAACTTAGAAATGTTGGGAAAGGGGTTAAAGTACCAATATGCTATTTTCCATTCCGTCGTCTGATGGCATAATTATGGTTGTTCAAAACGCTACAAAGAATGATTTGGTGGCATTAGTCATTTTATGCATGAAGCCACTACAATGTCATCAAGGCTTGAGCACAACTAACATAATAATTCCATTTGAATGGATGACGTGCTATGATTGTATAAATCTCAGTAATTGTACATCATCCATGTTTTAAAGACGTTTTATTGATACTTGCAAATTATCATGACGGAAACCCAAACTTATAGATAACGCTGCAGGTTTTGAACTCGGATGGAGAGCCAAGGATCAATTTACAGAAAAGAAAAAAAGTAACAAGGAACTACAAGTTACGCTATAATGTCCGCTCACACCACCAGTTACTAAACAATCAACTCATGCTATAACATTGCACGACACTGACGGACGGTGCTGACGTTCAACTACTAACTGGCTAACCGTTGCAGGTTTTGGATCATCATTAGTTTTGCTGTTGACAAATAATATCAAAATCCCAATCTAGTATGCATTTGTTACCTAGATTCACTACTGGTCGTAACAAGAACTTGTATCAGCAAAGCCTCTCTTTCTTTCTCTCTTTTTTCTGTGTGCTCTATAATCATCGTTTTACTCTTTACTCATGCATGTCCACAAAATTATATGAAAAGCTTACAACAAAGTTAGTCCTCCTCGTTGTTTTGTGATAGCTACTGTCTCCGAAACATTTAGACGTTTTACCTCTTTCTTTATAATAATTCCATGATGCTTAGGGTGGTGGCGTTCCTGCGGATGCGGAAAACTGGGCCTTTGGCCGAGTCTGACGCGAACCGTGAATTTTTTTTACCACTTCAGATGTGAATGAGTGCGAGAGCCCGGAGTTGAATGGTTGCGGGCCAGACCAAGTAGCGGAGTGTTTCAATACACATGGATCCTATGCGTGTGGTTGCAGACCAGGCTATTTCGGCAATGGTGTACTATGCAAGGGTAAGAACTATGTAGTGCGTGACTAGGAGAGGAATTGGTATTTTAACTTACTTTAATTTTTATAAAGCCTTGAGTAAAAATCAACTTCGCGCTCATTCCTCATACACACAGGACAAGGTAGGTCAAAAGATTTCCAAAAAAAGGTTTTCCTGTGATGATCATCAGTTGGATCATCGTTTGAAAATGCATCTTAAGTGTCGGAGTAATGAGTGCGCTGTTGAATTCACTTTCTTACAGCACCTCACCGCGTGTCTACTCCGTTCGTTGTTTGTTTGCCTCTTGTTTTCCTTTTCACTTTAATGAGCTGGGCCCGAACATTTCCTGACCATATCCAGTGCCGTACACATGTGCAGCAAGGAGACTGTGTTTGAGTGTTTGAGTTAGGGGACCCTTCAGTGATCACAGCTCATAGGCAAAGACGTGAAAGGAAAATTAGAAGAAGAGTCGTGATTATCCTGTTTGCCCTCAGGCATTAAGCTGTACACAGAGGGAGTTACTGCTGTAGGGCTGTGAATTCGGCAATTTGTTGTGTGTTCACATCAGAATTTATGCGAAAGGAGATAAACAAGTCTGCAGTGAAGCAGGTAAAGAGGTTTGTGAGACCTGCCACTCATCATCACCACTAGGCCCTGCATCTGCCACCTTGGTATGCCCAGCATGGTGGTGGCCTGACACAAGCGAAACTTCCTAAGCTGGTGACGTGCTTCAACACAATTGCATAGCCAGTTGTTACACGAATGTGTGAAATTCACTTTTATGAATCTCTCACTGTTTATAATAGCTATCCAATAACTTCTTAACCGCAATCAACAAAACGAGCTGAGCCGACATTTGTGTACTTTATTCATTCAATGTAAAACGGCTCAGCTTGTTTTATTGATTGCGGTTATCAAATTATTGTCTCCTCGCCGTTTGTTGAATAACTTCTTTTCACTTTTTTTGGAGCCGTGCTAATGGCCCTCAAAGATCCGTGCCATCCAATCGCAGTCGAAGAAAACGTAGAACGTTCAATGTGATTAAAATGCTTGTATCCTCTGCATATATGTATCCTCAGATATCGATGAATGCCAGGAGAGGAAGGAACGGTGCAGTGAACAGGCGTACTGCAACAACACCATAGGGTCATACACATGTACGTGCAAGCCGGGATACGAAGGCGATGGATTCGTCTGTGAAGGTAAACGTAATTCGTATTTTGTCTTCACCCGCAATGTGCGTGTTCCTTTTTTGATTTGATTTGATTTGCCAGTAACCATGCGTGTCAGATAGCCTCGAAAACGTGATGATTGTAGTTTTTCCTATGATGTTTGTACTGAGTGAGCAACTCATATTATTCAGTACGTTCATATCATTATTATCTTATGTGTCCCTTTTAAATCTTTGAAGATTTAAAAAAATGTGAGTATCGAGATCATGGGCTGTAATATGATAGAGAAAGACGAATTTTGTATTCAGCATTCTGTAATTTACTGAAAAAACGTACATAGAACAAACAATGGTAGTGTCTTGTTTTCTTCCTTTACTGTACAGTCGATTTGTGTGCAACATCCAAAGATTCCGGTGTATGCCGACGAATGGAGCGACTTGAGACTCACATTCAGCAACTGGAAAGTAAACTGAAGATCCGAGACAGGCAGATTAACACATTCATGGATGAACTTAAGCTGATGTCGTCCGTGTTCACCCATCAGCATCGCTCTCTGAAAGCCACTGATAAACGTCTTACACAGCTTGAACAGAGGAACGAGACTGTAAGTTCTAAGTCTTGTAGAAGGGACAAATTCACCTTGACTAGGAATGAAATGAAACCTGTGCTCCTGGCACATTCTTCAATGGAATCATGTGATTGAAAGAAAGGAGATGATGACCAACAATAGACAATTACTTTAGGTGAGTGGTATACGTGTGCAGAATAATTATAACAAATTACTGAAGTACACACACACGACAGAGACAGATGCGGTGTAGCTTTAAATTGCACTCATTTCAGCGCTCATCAGATAGCAGCGTTACTCTAAATTCTGCTGTTTGATGATCGTTGAAATGCGTGAAACATAATTAAAATTTAGGTTACAGCTTCATAGCCTTTCGCCTCTGTTGTGTGTGTGTGTGTATACTGCTCTGTACATTTGTGCATTGAGCACTCTACCTCGAGCTGCCTAGACCGGCCTTATTTGTCAATTTCGAGTATGTAACACATATTCACCAGCTAACATCACGGAAGTGTGAAGAATGTCACTAGCGCATCAAGATAATCCACCAGTCTCCTAGACTGCCAGAACCTGCAGTGTCGTCAGGTTTGACCTCAACTGAGAATTTCACAAGTGTAGGAAATGAAGACACTGGCCTTTGCTCTGTTTCACTCCTAAACAATTACACGAAATATACCAAATATTCTACGCAAGAGAGAGATTGGAAGCTGTGTCGCAATTCTGAGTTTCACGTATTACTACGATGATCAGGCAACTGATGGTTCCAAAACGGGCATCCTGAACATAAGGGGGAACAAGGTGCGAAATTCTGAGGGCAATCATAGCGTACGAGTCAGGTGCAGGCGTGAAGTTGCCAAGTCTTTAGACTTGAGGCTATGCAGCAGCAACAGTTCCGGTGTGAATGATATAGAATAGAGATGGGGACTTAAGTGCCAAATCCAGACATGCCCATACCATTACACCCACATACACCCACACTCTCTCCCTTTTCTCACATACACATACGTGCACGCCCACACAAACGCGCTCACACACTCGATCTCACACACTCGATCTCTAAATCTCACACACACCCCTCCCCCCACACACACGCATTCATTCGTTTTGGAAAGTCGGCAGTCCAGAGAGCGAATATTCTGTGAGCCAATGCTCAGAGTCGTTCCAAGTCGTCGTCTGCGTGTGGTAACTTGCTCCACTCGCGGGCTTCCAAGGCCTCGCGGAGGACTCCGAGGTAGAGGTGACCTCCTTCCTTCCTTCGCCAACTGCCACGATTGGCTACGTGTCCCCAAACGGGGCGACTTGAAGGAGTGCTGTCTTCGGGACGCGGCATGAGGCCCTGCGAGTCCGGCGGGACGTGAACGGCTGTTTCACTGCTTTTTTTGCCTTTGCCGAGCGACGGAAGATGCAACTATGTCTATACAAACACACACGCACACACACACATACACAAATTCACACACACACCTTTGACCTTTGACCTTTGACGCCCCATCTCCAGTGGAGATGATAGGCTACTGAGCTGGGCAGTACTTGATGTGACGCTTCAAATCGCCACTTCTCCTAAACGCTCTGCCGCATGCGCAATGAAAGTCCTTCGGTGCCGGGGGAGGAAGACGATGTTGATGGACCCGCCTGCGCCATTCCGGGCGATTTTGTGCGAGCAGATACCACTCGGACTCCGGAATATCCAGCGAGCGCAGATCACCGACAATCGTGTCTCGCCAACGCTTCTTTGGCCCATGCCGTGGTCTGGTTGCTTCGAGCTCACCAAACAACACTTGTTGAGGAATCCGGGCCGCGTCCATACGGGCAACATGACCAGGGCCTGCTCTAGACATTCAACTCATCCCGGTCAGAGTGTACCTGGCGGATGCAGGCCAGCCGGGTCAAGCCGGGTCGAGCCGGGTCAGATCATCCTGCAGAAAAACAACCAAAAAGCCTGCTCAAAACGCAGGAAAACAGAAAGGCGAATTTATTACCGGAAATCGGAAATTTTAGAGAACAAGGCGAACTATCAAAGTCCGCAAACGTAGAAGGTAAACGACATTATGTGAAAAATGCAAAGCAGTAACATAATAGAGCACTGGGGAGGGGGGGGGGGCTGCAGCACCTTGTGGAGTGGCTGCTTGCTGCGACTGAATCACCTGCATGGCCAAGCCGACTGGCATTTGCTGCACCATCTGCTGAAAGGCTTCAGCAGACTGGAGAACTGGTGGAGTTGCAACTGCTGCTGCTGCTGCTTGCGCTGGCGCTAAGTGACTAGCGCTGCTGGCGCTGCTGCTGCAGCTGCTGCTGGCGCTGCTGTTGCTGGTGGCACTGTTGCTGCTGCTGCTGCTGCTGCTGCCGCTGCTGCTCTGGGTGTGCGGGCCAGGTCCCTCCGTTCAGACGAGGTTGACGTTGCAGTCGTAGTGCGCCGAGTCACCTCAGAATGCCATGCAGCCATAGTCTTGTCGTAGTTGAAGCAGTGAGTTCTTACCTTTCAACCACGCATCGCAACCAAATCTACCGCCGCTCGTCTTCCTTTGGAAATACGTCTTGCACAAAGCGCATGACATGGATAGACTGCCTTGGTCCAGCCAGGGTTGACCTTTCTTCCAAGAGTCTTGGAAAGCGTGAGTTTTTTTTCTCTTCGCTGCGGGCTCCATCGTCCAAATGACCAGTCGGCTGAAAACTTGCAACTGTGTCAAAAGCTATAGCCAAAGTTACGCTTTTGACTACCTGCCCCATCGACTTCCTGCGTGATGTCCTGACTTCCTGCTCGCCGCTGACCAGATCGCGCTCGAACCAGTTGACCCCAGTTGACCCTAGCCGAGTTTCTGTCGCTTGTAGACTGTAGTCTGTAGCAGGGAGTAGTAAAATACACTGGTCTGTAGTGTGTACGGTTGCACTAGATTTGCAACAGATGGGGTCCGCGAGTCGTAAAATACGGGTATTTTAGGAATCCATTGTCAGTTTGAGACATTTTTCAGCCGGGTCAGACTGGACCCGGTGTTATCTGTTCAGCCAGGTCGTGCAGTTCCCCAGCCGGGCGCGTGACCCGGCTGACCCGGCTCTCCAGCAGGCCCTGCATGACCCAGCCAACGCAGACGATACTCACGCAGGAGAGTGCCAATGTCCTCAGGAAGACGCGCTCTCTGGGCTAGATCAGCAGTATTAAGATGACGGGAGTGCTGATCGCTCCTTGAGACTCTCAAGATGGAACGGACGCATGAGCGATGAAACAGATTCAGGCGATTCATCTGCTGGGCCTTCATGGGCCAAGTCTCTGCTCCATAGAAGAGGGTAGGGAGGACAATGGCCTTGTAGACAAGACGCTTAGACTTAATGGATAGGCCGCTACACCCGAAGATTGGCTTTTGGAGAGCGCCAAAAGCACGAGAGGCCTTGGCAAGACGGGAGGTGAGCCCCTTGTCCAGAGCACCGTCTGCACTTAGGACACTGCCAAGATAGGTAAAGCTGTCCACAACCTCCACGCTTCCTCCATCCTGAAGATCAATGGAAGGTGGCGGGTCAGAGCAGTTCACCGCCATGGCCTTGGTCTTCTGGACGCTCACAGTTAGACCCCAACCCGAAGCACAGGACACAAACTCGTTTGCCATCGTCTCCAGGTGGCTCAAAGAGGTGGTGTAGAGAGCCGCATCATCAGCAAACTGGGACTCTGTGACGTCAGTGGAGACCAGTCGAGACTTGGCGGTCCGATCCCCAACAAGCTTCCTGCCGACACGGTAGCGGACCCGTACACCCGGAACAGAAGACTGGCGACGCCACGAAGAGACCACTGCAGAGAAATACAGATTAAAGAGCGTAGGCGCCAGTGTGCAGCCCTGACGCAAGCCATTCCGGACGTTGATGTTGTCCGTGACGACGTTAGGGAGCCGAACACGCGCCTCCATGCCTTCATGGAGCGACTGGACAAGGCCAAGCAGCTTCGGAGGAATGCCCAGATTGCGGAGCACAAGCCACAAAGCAGACCGCGGAATTGAATCATAGGCCTTGCGCAGATCGACGAAAAGCACATACAGCTCAGAATCGTGCTCCACTGCCTTCTCCATCAGTTGTCTCGCGGTGAATACCATGTCACTGCAGCCACCGCCCCTGCGGAATCCGCACTGGGAATCCGGCAGAACATCCTCTGCCACCGCCTGCAGGCGACCCTGAAGAACACGAGCAAGGACCTTGCCGACCACATCCAGGAGGCTGATGCCACGCCAGTTATCGCAGGACCGTAAGTCACCTTTCTTGGGGATAAGGACGATCTCTGCGTTTCGCCAGTCAGACACGGCAGAACCGCAGGTCCATACCCCATTGATCACATTGTGGACGCACATACACACACACACATACACACACACGCACACACACCTACACACACACACCTTGAACCTTGAAACCTTGAAACTGCCACCTAAAGGTGATGCAGTGCCTCAAAGAGGCAAGGAGGGCAGAGTTACTTCTTGCATTTGTGTTGAGCCAGGTACTGGAGACGTGTGAACTTCCGAGAGCAGGTCGGGCATGGGATGGTGCGGCGCTCGGAGCCAGAGCTGCATGTTCTGCGGTTGCAGTTGCAGTTGTGCCGGCGGTGCCCAGCTTTGCTCCGGAAACAGCGGTCACAGGTGTGGCAGTGGTAATGACATTGGCTGCAATCAGGTGGGCGAGGTGCAACAATCTCTGGAACTGGAGCATCACCAAGACTGGGAGAGCAGCTGTGCACAGCAAATCCACCTCGTCTAGCAAACCAACGATGGCACGTTTCGCACAACACAGCACCGGCCTGTTCATGGATCGGCTTCAGTCGCTCTTCCCTGCATTTGTGCCGCCGAAGTCCGCTTTCACTGGCGAAGAGTCGCTCACAGATCGCACAACACACTGACTTGCCTGTCGTTTCAAGGCGCAAGCGCCGTGCAACAATAGCATCCGAGATGGACTGGATCCACTCGCCACGTTCAGCTGCGAGGTCGTACCAACCGGTGTATAGACCGAACGCCTTGAGGTCATCGCGTACCACATCACGCCATCGACGCCTGGGGCCATGAGCAGGGCGTGGAGTATGGAGCCACGAGAACAACACTGCCTTTGGAAGCCGGTGGTCGTCCATCCTGGCAATGTGGCCAAGCCACTGCAGCCGTCGACGGGCAACCATGTCAGCAACTGGCTCTGTAGCGCACATTCTATGCAGCGAGGCAGATGACAGGTGGTCCTCCCACTGTTTGGAACGCGAGATGCCGAGAATGACACGAACGCAGCGGTTGTGGAATTGTTCAAGGCGACGTATGTCGGCACGCAACAGTGTCCAGTTCTCAGCCCCGTAGAACAGCACCGACAACACACAGCATGTGTACGTGTGTTGTTTCGTCTTGGATGTTAGTGAAGTGTTCCGAAAAACTGGCGAGTAGAGGCTGCCAAAGGCCTTAGATGCAGCAGCTATGCGGTTGGACACATCGGTGTGGCATCGTCCGTCTGGTGTTACCACTGAGCCGAGATATGTGAACTGGCTGACATGCTGGATGGCGTTCCCTTGTACGCTTAGCGGGGTACGGTCACTGTCGTTGATCTGATACCCAACAGCCATGAACACTGTCTTTGCCACGTTGAGAGACAGCCCGAATGCTCCACTGACCTCCGCAAATATCTCACGCATACGCTGAGCATCCGAGTGGCTGGGTGCAAACAAGGCTGCATCATCACCAAACTCACCATCTGTGATGACTATATCATTACCACGCTTAGATCTCTTGAAAAGCTGACCATCGGCACAGGTCCGGAGTGGAAAACCAGACACTCCACGCTCTTGGACGCGTGCGCACCAACGTTCCATCACTGCACCAGCAAACAAGTTAAAAAGGACTGGTGCCATTGTACACCCTTGGCGCAATCCGTTGCACACTGGGAAGCCTTCAGTGGGGGAACCATTAACGATGATCGTGGCTGTCATGTTGTCGTGAAAAGACTTCAGAAGGCTGACCAGTTGCTCCGGGACAATCCACAGTGCAGCACGCGGAACAGAATCGTATGCCTTCCTCAAATCGACAAACACCAGGAATCCCTTGAATTGGTGCTCGTGACACTTCTCCACAACCTGGCGAACAACAAACGTCATGTCCGTGCAGGAGCGACCTTTCGGGAAACCACACTGTGATTCAGGCAGCACACTTTCGGCGACTTTCTGCAATCGGTTTTGCAGCAGGCGTCCGAACAGCTTGCCAATGACGTCGAGGAGTGCGATGCCACGCCAGTTGTCGCAGCTAGTGAGGTCACCTTTCTTGGGTATCGGTATTATCTCAGCATTCACCCAATCTTGCGGTACTACGCCCTCCTCCCAAACCGCGGTAATGAGCTTAAACAGATTGGCATAGAATAGGTCGCAGTTGTATTTGACCATTTCCGGTAGAATGCCGGAGCTTCCAGCAGCTTTCCCGTTCGTAAGATAGCGAAGGCAGCGCTGGGCCTCTTCAGCAGTGGGTGGGGTGGCCAGGTGTTCCATGATGTTGCGCTGCTGGACCAAGTCAATTTCAGATCGGACAAAGCCGCTTGGAAGGTTCAGCAGCTTTTCGAAATGTTCAGACCAGCGGCTCTGCTGTGCCTCAACGGACGAGTATGGTGAGCCATCAGTCTGTTTGATCAGGCACGACTTAGTGGGAATCAATCCGCGCCGGGCAGTCTGTAGATCCCGGATGCTGTTCCACACAGCCTTACACCCAAACTTCCTAGATTCGGCATCAGACGCAGTCTTACGGATCCAGTCCTCCTTAGCACTGCATACAGCATCCCTTGCAGCTGAGCGCGCGCGGACAAACTCTCGCCGGACCAGAGGTGATGATCTGCTAAAGATTTCTGGAATAGAGTGTTACGATGTACACACACACACACACACACACCAGAACTCGCAGCGAGCACGGTGCTGTCAGTGGCCATGACCACCAGCTCCAACACCAGCTGCCTGCATATGCCCCGCTGGCACTGAAGCGCTCGTTCCCACACTGCAGCATCAGTGATTGGAATTCCCTCCCTGCCGCTCTCCTATCCCAGCCTCCCCACAGCAAGAGAATGCAATCATTCAAAAGGAATGTTTATCGCCATCTTCGCAGCACAAACTGGCTCTGGGCAGTCGATTCCCTATGAATAGTATGATGCTAAGACAGTTTCTCCTCCAAAATCGCTCGTGTTAAGCCTTGGGTTTTTGCATCTTTCTTACCTGTACAGCTCTATCTTCTTCTTTTTTTCATTGTTTTTGGTGCGTGTTTTTAGCCGTGACGCCGAGACCTCAGGTCGGCAGACTCATCAATGCCCCACCATCACTCCTGCGTCTCGGTGCAGCGCCTGCTCAATAGTTGTCACGTTTGTCCTGGTCTCTGTACCATTGTCTTTCCTTATTCTTTTCGAGCTGGTTATGTGCACATAGTAAAAAAAAAAAAAAAAAAACACACACACATACACACTGTACTGTACTGTACTTGCTCACTGCCAAAATTGGTCACGTGGGTCTCCCCCGGGAGAGGGGAGAGAGGAACTCAAAAGGAATCTTGGAAAGATGACTCGATTGGCCATTGAACCGCCCAACGGCCGACACCTCCTGAAATCCCAAACTACGGATTGACTAGCAAAATGATTCCACTTACGGGCTCACCATACCTCAGTAAGTGGGGGAGGACAAGGTACAGAAAAAGCACTGACGGCATCAGGATACCTGTCCTGGGATCCAACTGCAGTTACCCCTGCACCCAGTGAGGGTAATACTTGCTACTAGAGTGGGTGGCTAAATCAGAGTGGATCTGACATAAGCTCCACTAGCACCATCTATTACACAAAAGTTAATCTAGCCAGAAGCAGTTCATGGTTAACAGGTATGTATACTTCAAATAGAAAGTACATGAACCCTGAAACCAACAAAGGTGGCGGATACAACAATACACCTTCAAGCATCCGAGCCTGTTGGCAACAGACCGAACACTATCCGGCATATGCGTACCCACCAACCGGACTAACTGGCAAGCACACACACACACACACACACACACACACACACACACACACACACACGCGCGCGCGTGCACACACACACACACAAACATGCACACACACACACACCTGCACACCCACAATACTCATTCGCTCATTCTCACACCCACCACACACATACATGCATCCGCACGTATCCAATCACCCACATACTCTCTTTTTATGCATGAACACACGCTCGTGCGCACAATTACTCACACACACACACACACACACACACACACACACGCTCGCGCGCACACTCACACACACACACACACACACAAAATGAGCAGCAGGACAACCAGTTAGATTCACGTGGCCCATCACCATGCCCCTCTGATGAGGCAACGACTGAATAGAGGTTTACTGCCACAGATAAACCACAACCTGGTTTCCAAACTCCGAAACCAGTTTTCGTGTACATCTGCACAGACTTAGTTCAAGTGGTGAACATATTCACATACTTTAAACAAGCGCCCCAGAGTATTGCCCCAATGATACTCCTGTCTCCGCATCGCTTTGTCTAAGCACAGGGAGGCATACATGTATAAGTATACTATGTTCTGAGATGGTCTTAAAAATACTATTTTCTTTGTATACTGTGCAGTGCGGAATGGTAAATTGGCAGACTTTCACGCAGACCAATCCCACGAAAGCAGCCAACATGATTGTATGGAATGCCAAATTCAACAAGACGTGGACCGACACAACTCTCCGAGTCACATACTCCACAATGCTTGGTCTTCAGGCTAGCAATGCCTGGTCCTGTTTCACATTTTCCATTCTGATCAACGGGGAAGAATGCTCTGACCCTGCCCCAATTCAGAACACCTTCAATCTCCACGCAGCGTACAGTTCAAACGTACACCAATTCTCGCCCACTGTGATCACCGGAACATGTAGAAATATTCCTGCTGGAACAATATCGCTAACAACGCGCACTGTGAAAGCCTGCTCACGGCAAATGGTTCATGAAAGCAAATACCAAGGTCCGACTACACCTCCAGCGTCCATGTTCGTGGAGGAACTTTCCAAGTGCTGATTAAGCACAATGCATGCATTTCGGGCGATTCAGCGTTGCTGTATACTACCCAGCGCAGGACACGTTGGCCTGTAGAATATCAGGATTATCAGTAAATTGATATCAACATAACCTGGATGTATTCTCGATAGAGATTGTTGCTCATTCAGCTGAAATGGCATGCACAACCATGTAGTTACGGAAATGCATAGTTAATAGTTTGACCTGCTTTACATTGTAGGGTCTGGTGGCCTACTATCTCTCCCTCTCCCTCTTTCAAATTGGTTAGTACGTGCAAAGATATAGACACTGCACTGTAAGTGTGTCAGGTTTGCTGATTCTACTTTGGTCTTGTTCCAAACAGGCTTCCCTGTGCCATCCATTCGCTCTTATTTTCATATTGTGTGATTTCATCGTAGCTACCCCATTAGAGCTTGCCGTACTTTAGGTTAGCGCATTGCGCAAGTCATCACTAACGGCTGAAACTCTCTAGCTATCTACCTCCAGGATGTTCACACTGTCGTACCCCACGCAATCCATTCTCGCTCAACACGTAGTGGTCTGTGTCATGTACATGCTGTGTGCAATGGTTGTATGCGGTAGGGAAAATGTAGTTCCGGTGGTTGATTGGTCGCATTGGAGGTTGTGGAAAGGGCAAAGAAGTTTCTTTCTAGTGTTGTAAGTGGGGTACAGCAGCAGACTACATGTAGTGAAAGTTACGTTGAAGTGCAGTTTTCAGTTTTGGTGGGAAATATAGTATACACGTACGTTTGATCCGTTCAGTTGAGAAACAGCCAAATGCAAAACAGCCAAATTTGAAACAGCCAAATCCGAACCAAATGCAAAAATTACTAGAATGCGCCTCTCAGTACCACAAGTACGTCAAAAGTAAACCATTTCCAAGACTTATTTTTTAATAACTCTATGCAAGGAGGATAATGAACTCGTTCTAAAATAGTTAGTGCATGGCAGGTCGGGCCTAATGTCTTGTTTCGCCCTTAACTTAAGCATTGCACGACACTGACCAACGATACTGACGTTCTACACCCAACTGGCAATCAGATCCAGCACGTCTTGTATGCGCATTCCAACAGTCTTCCAGCTTGGAAGGTTATGAGGTATTGAAATAGAATCATTCATGTTCGCTTAGCTTCCTCTCCAATAGATTTTCCAATCTTTAGAGCCACACACCTTATGTTGCTATGCGCCCTTGAATTGTGGTTTGACCAGTTTGTCTGATGTTCTTGCCAGTATCGTCCACGACATACATGTACATGTACATCCGCCAACGTCCTTCACAGCTGAGACTTTCAGCTCGTGCTTATCTTGATTGCACTCACCTTCCTCTCCTTATGTTATTTCTATAACTAAGAACCTTCCAAGCCGGAAGACTGCTGGAATGACCATCAAAGACGTGCTAGAGCTGATTGCCAGTTAGGTGCAGAACGTCAGTACCGTTGGTCAGTGTCGTGCAATGCTATCGCATGAGCTGATTGTAAAGTAACTGGTGGTGTTAATGGATAATTATAGCGTAAATGCGTGGCTTTTTGGTTCTCTTTTTTCAAACTTTGGATGCATGAACACCATCTGCATTGATATTCGTAGAGAACACGTGGCTTAACATCTTCATCACTGAAATCGGAGAATGTTTGTTACATGTTGTGAAGTTTAAATTTTAGAGTGAAATTCTCCTTCAGTGGCAAAGATCTGTGTGTTCTGAACTTTAAAAGGGCCCAGGTGCGACACCACTCCCGAAAAACCTTGTCGCACCAGCGGATCCGCCACTGCATGTGGGACCGGGCCCTATATAAAGAGTGTAAGTGGAGTCAGTATTTTGGTATACTTGGGTAGCCAGCAAAACAGTTAATAAGATTATTACTACAGCTGCATTACATGTATACTTACATGTATACTTACATGTATACTTACATGTATACTTACATCTATACTTACATGTATACTTACATGTATACTTACATGTATACGATCACGTAGGTTGACTTCATGTACATGTACAAGACTGCGAGATAGTCAAGTGAACCACAGGGTGACTGTAGAACCTGCACTAGGGGCTTTCCCCAGGGTTCCATCCTGGGCCCTGTCCTCTTCAGCATCTACACTCGACTTGTCTCCACTCTGTCATTGCGTTCCAAATGCCTTTGTTGTGCAGACGACACCACCCTGCATGCCTCTGGAAAGTGTCCACAAATTCTCATGTCTTACTTGGAAGAAGGTTTTTCAGTGGTGAAGCAGCACCTCACAGATCGCGGCCTGCTCCTGAACTCCAGCAAGAGCGAAATACTACTGATCCACAGCAGACGCTCACGTCCTCCACCTAACCTGAGCAATGTCTGTGGTTCGACTGTTATTCCCCGGTCTGACGAAGTTAAGTATCTGGGACTGACTCTCGATTCAACTTCAAGTTTCGTTTCAGTGCCCACGGTAACTCCCTCAGGGAAAACATTGGAAAGAAACTAGGTGCTTTTCGACGTGGAAGGAGGAACCCGGCTGCCCAGGCCAGAATGCAGTTCTACTTGTCACTAGTCCAGAGCAAGCTCGAGTACGCCAGCATTGCCTACGTCCACTGCCTCGCTGGCAACGGTAGACATCAGCTGCTACGCATAAGACCGTAGGAGAGCGCTTAGATGCATATTTGAGCATGACACATTCACGCGGACATCATACTTGCTTGAGCGATACCACATAATTAGCTTAGACAAAATATATCATACTAAGTCCATATTCTTCTTGTTCCGTTGCATCCACAATATCTGCAGCTCACTCCTCTATGACATGTTCTCCCTTCGCCGTGACTGCGCCCACAAAGACAGAGTCACCTGCGCCAAGTCAATTATTCCCTTTCTTTGCCCATTATGCAAGATCAAGCTGGATACAAATCTATTTCAATCCTTGGTGCTGACTGCTGTAATGCGCTTCCCGAATCCTTCCCGAATCCCTTCGCACAAATCATGTCCGAAATTCATTTCGCCAGAAACTTAACAATTTTATTCATCTTGGGCACCCTGTAAGAAGACCTTGGGGTCTGTTGGGAATGCCCAAGTAAAATACAGAGTGTCAAGTCAAGTGGGCGGAAAGCGGGAGCTGCAATGTGCAGAGCACACACATAAAACTCTCTTTCACTTACACTTCGCTGACAATGGAATTGGCTCAGATTTGCAATGAGACAGGAATGGGTGTGTCCACCCACACTTCTTTTCTAGTCTGAAGCTGCAGGAGACCTCAAGACTTATTTTGATTCACTTACAGGATTAGCAAAAGTATGTATTGATTCAGTTCGCGTCAGCATGCGGAAGCAGATTGTTAAACGTTCAGCTAGTTTGGCCTTTTACACTATTCATGTACATGAACATGTAGTTGGATTCTGCATGGTGACTACCCCTACTAGCGCAACGCCAATAGACGTGCAATAAACCAGTTCACAGCCGTCTTTCCATGGCAATGTGCCGCATACTTCTGGTTTAGTCCGTATCAAAGACGTACATGGATGGAGACACAATCTTCAGCAGGATAGCAAATAAGCATAAGCAGAAGGCCAAACGTTCCGCTATTATCAACTACAAATAGGCGTTCTTAGTCCGATCGATCCGGCTGAAAGTAGCTGCTGAATGGACCTTTCTGTCACTGAGTGCAGTTGCCTTCTAACCCAAGAAAATGGAGAAGCATATTATATCTTCAGTCTCGACTCGTTCCTGATGCCCCGCTGCTTCCTGCAATAGTTGCCATCACGTACCAATCTAGAGAATACCAAGAAAACTGTGAACCGTACCATTCGGTGGTTGGATAATACAACAAACTCTCCTCCTCAATGCGCTCTAAAGCCTAGCATTGCTACCCTCGCTAGCCATTACTCACATCAGTAGTTCAAACCACGAAGGGGTCATTACCTTCTGAGGGTAACAATGGTCGGATTTAGAGCGCATGAAGGAGGAGAGCTAGAGGATACCAGCAGAACACAAAAAGCTGTGTGGTTATACCCGTAGGTTTCATCAAGGACAAGACCATGCATGTGAACCCGTTCAGCCTTACTAGCCCCTTCACCACATTAGCTCTGGTTAAGTTGCATCTATCAAACTTGAACATAGCATAGCGATGAAATACTTCAGGCATTCCACAGACACGGAGCTGAACGTGAGGTACGACTTTCTTTCTCTTGATAATAAAACGTGCGAGCGTGTCAACTTCCCACGTCTCTGCATGTACTTTGTTTCTGCTCACCGTTATCCTAGTAACGCTGAAAAAATTGACAAGTTTACTCGTGAACTGAGTCACTATCATTATTGATAAAGGGAAGGCCGCATATCTCTTACGTGGTCCCATTTTGTTGCTTGTTGATATGCTTGGGTGACTATCGTTTTTCTTACACTGTATCACCTGACAGATGGCCCTAAGCAGTTTTTCTGGAAGATATGCAACAGTCATATCGAAATTGACGAATCAATTTACCCAAAGTGCCTGAAGTCCTTGCTGCAAATAACGTTAGTGCTCATAACAAAGCCAGAGCGCACTACACCAGGCAGTACAATAGAGATCAAAAAGCTTTCTCGTTACTTCGGAGTAACGAGAAAGCTTTTTGGTCTCTATTGTTCTGGCTTGTGAATAGATTTACATGATATAGGGGAGTAGGGGCGATGCGCCGATGTGGTTGGCGAGGCTCATCCGACCAGAGGTCTCGGAAACATAGACAACAACCAGGCATAGATAAAAATTCAGCTAGAGGGGGGGGGGGTGGATCAAGCGAGAAAAGAGAGAGAGAGAGAGAGAGAGAGAGAGAGAGAGATAGAGCCACAGGAAAGAGAAAGAAAAATAAATCAAATAGACAAGAAGGATGCGGGATGAGGGTAGTTGCCCAATGACGGATGACACAGCCTCACAGGGATTCCGTTGCCCAGAGCCAAAAAGTACGACGCAAGTGGCGGTGGACCCTCGTTTCGAAGGATCCTTGACCCCATGCGAGGCGGCGGCATACTTTCTCACAAGCTGCAGTGCGTACATCTACATGTACATGTACATGTACCTTTCTGAGAACCACCTTCCATGACGTTTGCCACTGAGCAATTTCCGTAGCAATAAAAATCGTGAGATGCGGCATGGTATGTGCATGCATTACACAAGCAGATGGCTCCATGGAAGTGATCCAGGCTTTCGTTATCAGATCGGTGTCGCTTTTAACAGAGAGTGGGGATGTCACGCCACTGGATAACAAACGAGATTGTCGACTGACAACTGGTTTTCGGAGACGCATCTCAATCCAAGTGAGTTGCAACGCAACAGAGCGTACTTCAGGACTTTTTTTCCCTGACACTTTGTTTCGTCACACGCAATTGCTTGCCAAGAGTCCAGGTCACCTGGCATGCATCAGAAAAGGTGTTATGGTCCTTGAAATGGTCAAGTTTGCGAATAATTCTCAATGAGTTTTTCAATAGAGACAAGATAAGAAAGCCATCCTTCACAATGAATAACTATTTCATATCCAAGAATTTTTTTTCTTTTTTTTCGGAGCGATGAATTCAACGCAGCATTATACAGTGAGGAGTCCGGCCACAAAGCCTGCTTAAGTACACATGAATAATAAAGTTCTAAAAGAAATACTAAAATCCAGGAACATTGCGTTGCACACCTACAAAATAGGCACACTCGGTTGTCTTCAGACCACAATCAAAGGTTCTCGTTTCCCCGTCCAGCAGAAATGGCTATCGTAGCAGTCTGTTGGTTCCTCATCATTGTTGCGTCCCATGGTTGCCATGTGAGCGCCACATCAGATGCAAGAGTCACACAAGGTAAGGGTATGCAGCTTTTGCTTTATTCCATAATGCCATGAGAATCACAATGCGCAAAGTCGCACTAAGTCTTTCAATACGCCAAAAAACACATTTGGCCTTTTGGAAAGGTGCAAATATGAATGTGAAGCCCAGAACTGAGTGCGGCTGTGTCTGCTGGTATGATTATAATTCTGATCATGACATGGTTACGGCGTAGTTACGCTTCGGTGTACACGGAGTAAATCTAAATTAGAATTCCTTAGGGGAAATGCCTGTACTGAATTCCTCCTGTTAGTCCAATCAACAATCTACTTCAGTAAGAAAGTTTGTGGTGTATAGTACTGACCAAGAGAGTGATTATTTCACGAATCTTCACTGTCACAGTTACTTGTACATCTGTATGTACATATGCATGTAGTTTCGTTGAGTTCGGTGTGTAATGTCATGCCTAGTTCTCAATCTGCGGACCTACAATTTCACTAGTCGCGCAAACGTTTTACAAATTAGCCGAAACGGAATTGCTTCTCAGCACCTAACATTCACGTTGACCTAACCAGATCCCCTACCCGCATATTCAACTAGCATTGTAAGCACATTATATCGTCTCAAATTGGAGTGTTCCTCTCTTTACATTGTTTCCAGGTAGAAACCGAATGCTACAATAGGATAGGAGACTCCATTCGATATTAACTGAGGGTGATTTATAATGTACATGTATTTCTAATGGGGAACAGTTCTGGGCAGGATAAATTTTATCTAGCTTTCACGGGTATATCTTCATTGGAAGCCAAATTGTGACGTCATTGGAGTACATGACTCTCTAGCTCTTTCAAGTCCGATATACTTCGAAGTACAGCCAATCGGCGTGCATAGCATAGCGAAGATTGTGATTTGTGTCTTCCACACTGCACCGCTCGTCTGTCCCTGTCTGATTCTTTACAGATCAACCCGTGCCGTGCCTGGAGAACTGGCTCAAACTCGCTGGAGCTTCAACGCGTAAGGCGCGCCACTTAGCCATGAGAGCTGAAGTGAAGCGGTCTGGTTTGGATGACCAGAGAGTGAAAGAGCTGAGCAACTTTGTCATCGGCATTCTCCTTGGCTTCGATGAGGACCTGGCTGGTGCCCTCAAAAGCTGTGTTTGTAAGCCTATACATGTACATACTGCATACCTTCATACCTTCATACCGGGCTGAGAGACTAGGGTTGTCTGAGTTTAAATCATTGGTGTTCACGGATAATGCGTGTATTGACTAGGGGTCAGTGCGCAGCAAAGCCTTGATTTCCTCGACGTTGCACTGTAGGTTACGGAAGGAGTAGTTCTAGTTGTTTGAGATTTACTCTACATGTGCTAGCATATTAATTTTTAAAGTATGCATGCTTTAAGAATGCATGCTTAGAGCAATGCATGCTTAGAGCATTGCCAACGCATGGGAGCATACTAACAACTTTGAGAATTCTTGGGAACTTACCTATGGTGCGAACTTAGAAGTTGCGACTTCGGCGGTATTAGTCATGACGTTGGCTGTTCCAACGAGGAGCACACGCTTCTTGCCGAACTTGACACTTGACTGACTCACGACTGCCATCCGGAGCACACGAGTAGCACGTCGCACCTAATGCTATAGGTGCATGTATTGATCAGACAGATTGAAGCGGGCGCCGTACCCAAAGCAAGATGCCGAAAGGCGGGCTAACGAACCTACATGGCTACTTCCCCTTGTCTAACCCCCAAGACGAAATGATAGTAGCCGACTGGCCGAAATAAAAAATAAATGAATAAAAAGATAAAAGATAAAAAACCATCGGGCAAAGTTAGATTTACAACTGACCTTGCTTTCACTTTACTTCGGGATTTAGTTCACTTCAGTAGCCCCATCTAATGCCTAGTCGATTAATCGGGTTGGTGGCGTACCACGGAAGATGAAATACGCCGACCCGCCCTGTACGCGAACCCGTGCATTGTAGAATATGTTTGTCTTCACCGGGGTTGTTTCTGTGCAGTACGAAACGCCTCTTGTCCAGCTGGTGCTGCGAGAGTAGATTTGCCCTGCAGCGACACAGGTGACTGCGTATACAGCCCTGAATTGCAGACGACTCGTTGCCAGTGTCCTTTTGGTCTTCGTGGGAACCAGTGTGAAGCAGGTAAAGATGATTTCTACTTAGAATAAATAAACAGACAGACAAGGATTGATTTACAAAAAGAAAAGAGGACCAAAGAGCTACAGGTTATATTATTTCTATCACGTAGAACCTTCCAAGTTGGAAGTCTGTTGGTGTGCGCATCCAAGATGTGCTAGAGCTGATAGCCAGTTAGGTGTAGGTGTAGAACGTCAGTACCATTGGTCAGTGTCGTGCAATGTTATTGCATGAGAACGTCAGTAACATTGGTCAATGTCGTGCAATGCTATGGCATGAGAACGTCACTACCATTGGTCAGTGTCGTGCAATGTTATCGCATGAGAACGTCACTACCATTGGTCAGTGTCGTGCAATGTTATCGCATGAGAACGTCAGTACCATTGGTCAGTGTCGTGCAATGCTATCGCATGAGAAGGTCAGTAACATTGGTCAGTGTCGTGCAATGCTATCGCATGAGAACGTCAGTACCATTGGTCAGTGTCGTACAATGCTATCGCATGAGAAGGTCAGTAACATTGGTCAGTGTCGTGCAATGCTATCGCATGAGAAGGTCAGTAACATTGGTCAGTGTCGTGCAATGCTATCGCATGAGAAGGTCAGTAACATTGGTCAGTGTCGTGCAATGCTATCGCATGAGAACGTCAGTACCATTGGTCAGTGTCGTACAATGCTATCGCATGAGAAGGTCAGTAACATTGGTCAGTGTCGTGCAATGCTATCGCATGAGAACATCAGTAACATTGGTCAGTATCGTACAATGCTATAGCATGAGCTGAAACTGGTGGTGTAGACCAAATGACTGAGCAGATTTTACTCTCCTTCATTGTCTCCTTTGAATTTTGTTTAATTTTCGAGCATTTCTCCATAGCCTGAACATCACTATTGAGGAGCATGTCTAAGGTTACGAGTCAAACAATGAATCTTAGAGTAGCGAAAGACTAGCTTTGCCCTTGTTTGAACTTTCTGTGTCTAAATCAGATATTGATGAGTGCGCGAACAGATCATTGAACGAATGCGCTCGCAAGGAGGTCGCAATATGCCACAACATACATGCATCGTATGTATGCGAGTGTAAGGAGGGATACGAAGGGAATGGACGACTTTGTGAAGGTAAGATGTCCCACATGTGCACTTCTAACATTTTCGAGATGTACATGTACATTTTGTATAAGTGACGCGTTGCACAGTTTGAAGCACCTGAGTAGAAGCAAGTACATTGTACATGTAATTGGTGTTTTCGCTACCGGTAATCTTGCTGTGATAAACAGTAGCAACAACGCAATACTGCAGGTCGAGAAAGGAACAAGTTAAGCCAGGGATTGGAATTTAGCCTGCCCTACCGTTCTAAAAAATAACAGTCACCATTTCCGCAGCATAGCTCGCTGGGAGCATTACATTTCTTTGTAAGTTGCAATTCCCTTCCCCTTTGCGTACGTGCTTTCCACTTTCTTTTTTCTCCTTTTTCCGTTGTTAGACTCACTCTCTCTTCGTTTCAATTGGCTGTCTTGACATGCTACATGTCATAATGTTTTACCTCTTACAGATGTGAACGAATGCATGGATAACACCCCGGCATGTGCTGAACATGCAGACTGTAACAACACTATCGGTTCGTTCACATGCACCTGCAGGCAAGGATACAAGGGCGATGGACAGCACTGTGAAGGTATGCAGTGCTTATTGTCAGGTTCCAATTATGGAATATTTCGTGTCCCGGGTTGCAGTGGAGCGATGCTTAGTGTACCCATTGAAATTGCAATAATTATAAGTAAAAATAAAATAATGAGATATATTATATCTGTAAGAAAGGGTTTGCTCCCCACACCGGAGCTCGCGCTATTCCGTCGACTTTACTTTACACTTGCCTGACTCACGACTGCCATCCAGAGCACACGAGAAGTCCATCGAACCTTCGACTCGGCAAACCTGCAAGAAAGCACCACTCCCTGCTCAATACACAGTGTTTCGGGGAATACACCCCTCATCAGTTGAGCTTGAGTAGGCTGAGGAATATTGTGCCTGAAGAGCACCACTTATATAGTGCTCTCCAGGCACAAACATCACCAGGGATACAAACTTACAGAGACGCTCCATTTCCAGCGCGACAAACACCTCGTGAACACCATATAGCAGCGTGAGTCAGTGTCGCTCTGGACGGTGAGACCACTACTTCGTATATTATATCTCATTATTTTTACTTATACTATTCTCAGTCCGTGGATGACATGGTGTCAACAAATATAATTAACTAGGGCTACCAGCCAAGGAGTAAAATGGCCCCATAGAACAGTATTTCCTTCCTCTGATGAAAGAATTCTGCATTCCTCATGGCAGTTGGCCGTAGGTCGCAGCCATTTGCATTCCACAATTTCAATGTTCTTGTCCCGCTCATGAGTTGAAAATGCGGAACTGAGGAATACACAGGCTCTGCGTTATTTTCTGTTAATCGTAAATGTTTGTAATCCTGTCCAGAAAGAATCAAATCATATTTGGGTGGTATGCATATTTTCATAAGATCAATGAGGAAAACTAGCTCAATATCTTTCCTATGAATGATAATCAGCACACGAAGCACAGAAGCCATATAATTTTTTCGACTAGGCCTTTTATTCCATTACTCTTCAGGTCGAATACAATGGTGATTAACAAGGTAGTAAGTAAGTCCTTATGACCGGCACTTTGTCGGCCAGAGCATTGACAAAAATAGCACTTGAAAAATAGCGCTAGTGGCGCCAACAGCATACTAGTATTTGGCTGTCAGAGCATACCGGTGGACCAAATAGCACTTTAAAAGATACCTCCAGCACAGCAAAGTGAGATTTGTTGCGCGCACGCGCTTGAATCGTGAAGTGAGAGTGGGTGCCATGTTTGCAGACTGGCAGGCTGGTGACGATGTCAGTTGACGGAGTATCGCTGAGTCCTTCGCCATAATTATCGTCATTGGCCGTTGGTCCATTCCTGTGGTAGCTATTGGGCATCGCAGTTGCGCCGCTGGCGACTTCTCTGCCGGGCGAGGAGTCACACACTGTTGCACATGCCGATCCTGTATCAGCCGCTTGTTGCATTGCCAAGCTGAAGCCTGAACTGTGCGTGCAAAAGAAGTATGTGGGAAAGTTGTCACTGTTTTTACATTGTAGTACCGTGGTCCCCACTGTTGTCTGATACTGGCAATATTCATTGTCTCACTGTGTAGTTAGCGCTACTAGCGCTGTCTTTTAAAGTGCTATTTGGTCTATGCTCTGACCGCCAAATATGCTGTTGGCGCCATTAGCGCTATTCTTCAAGTGCTATTTTTGTCAATGCTCTGACCGCCAAAGTGCCGGTTATAAGGACTTACTCACTATCTTGTTAATCACCATTGTATTCGACCTGAAGAGTAATGGAATGAAAGGCCTAGTCGAAAAAATTATAATTATGGCTTCTGTGCTGCGTGTGCTGATTTGCTTTCCTCCAACCAAAAATGCTTTCCTTCAACCAAAAATCTATGAATGACAACTGATTTTTTTTTTTTTTTTTACTATGTTCACACTCCCAGCTAGAAAATAATAAAGAAAGACAATGATACTGAGACTAGGACGAACGTGACAACTATTGAGCAGGGGCTGCACCGAGACGCAGCAGTGATGGTGGGGCATTGATGGCTCTGCCGACCTGAGGTCTCGGCATCACGGCCAAAAACACGCACCAAAAACAAAAGATAGAGCTGTACGAATGATAACGGTATGCATGTATCGGAAAATGCGAAGCAGCTGTCGCAGATCACAGTACTGTGCACTGTGAAATGATGACCACTACATTCTCTGCTCTTTTCTTCTGATTCAATTATGTACATGTACAGTTGATGTATGCTCTGGATCAGGCAACACTGCGCTATGCCAGAGGATCGAGAGAATGGAGAGCCATATTGAGCGAATGGAAACCAAACTGAAAATCCGAGAGAAACAGATCAAAGCATACCTGAGGGAACTCAAACTGATGTCGTCCGTGTTCACTCGTCATCACTATGCATTGAAAGCCACCGATGACAGAGTTGCACGGCTAGAAAATGATGCCTCCGAAAAGGTAAGTTTGAATAATTTTGCCGAAATGTTGCCATAATTGATTGAGAAATGAGTTCGAGTTTGCAGCGTGAATGGGAAGACAGCGAGTCTGCTCTGGAACCTTTTGTTCCTACGAATGAAGCTGCAGGAAGCCTCACCACCGCTACCATTTTAGGCAGCAGTGGTTATATCGGGAGACGAAGATATGATTACCTAGCTGTTGTGGTGGTTCGCGTATTGAACACAATTATTGAAGTAACATTTGTAACAGATTCACTGTTACTACTAACACTAGGAATAGGATACACTTATCACCTGCTATTATCACGCTGCTATTATCACGCTGCTGCTGTTAGGTGTTATGTCCATCATTGCTTGTTCATGTATATAAGAATGCATTATGGCAAGGATCATTGCTTATTCCAAGAATGACTACTGAAGTTAGTTGGACTGTTACACTGGTAGCAAGAGGATGGTTTTTCTTTTCGTCATGTTCGGGCTATGCGCAGTGGCCGCATTAGTCGCCTACGGTATATTCGAGATTCAGAAGCGTCTGAATCACCTTATCGCACTCGGTCAGTGCGATGGATCAGATCAAACGCCAAGACGTGCTCAAGCTCCCAGCGGAGAGAGGCCACGCATGCGCCATGTTAAGTCTCCGCCTGTGTTTCGTGGAGATACAAGAGAGTTCAAGGAGTGGACCTTCGCCATCGAACTCGCCATGAAGTCCCTGCAGCTGGACAACGCGGAGGAGCGCTTGAGCTACGCGGCGAGTTTTCTGGAGGGCAACGCTCGTCTTTGGTTTATCGCCTCTCAGGAGGCAAACACGCTGTTTTCCGACTGGCCAGACCTGAAGAGCAAGCTGGGAGAAGTGTACGGCCCGGTGTATGACAGGGAACAGGCGCGCATCGACTTATTCGCTCTTCACCAAGATGAGACTCTTGACGAATACATCAACAAATTTTCGCGGCTTAGCTTACAAGTTCCCGAGCTTGATGACCACTCCAGAGCTATCTTGTTCACGCATGGGCTGGCTCAGGGCCTAAGCGGTGAGGTACTTAGGGAGCATCCGCAACATTTGGCCCAAGCCATACGAGCTGCGGTCTCAGCAGACCAGTCGATGCGGCTAGCCCAAGCAAGCTACGCCAAGGCAGTGCGCGCACCAGGGCATCAGAGGCGCCAGCCTGGACCCTGGTCAAGCCAACCAACACCATCCGGTGGGAGAGAAACCAGGGAGCCAGAGGGTCGTTCAAGGCTGTGTTTCACCTGCAGGAAACCCGGCCATATTGCCAGATTCTGTCCAGAAGGAGGGAGGAACGCCACAAGCAAGCCTTCTTTAAACGATGGACGCCAGTAAGGAAGGGAGTGCGACTACTGGCGAACACGAGAGCACCCAGGAATAGGCCACGAATCAAAGTTCAGAACAAATTCAGCCCCTTAGCAAATGAGGAACCACGCCTCGAGGAGACCGAAATTCAAGCCTCGCCTGTCAAGCATTCGTCACCTGATACTGTTGGCCGGCCTAATGAAGTAACCGCCAGCACAGGGAGCATTTCCGCCGACAACGAACACGACCTAATGCGCGTCCAGGGCAAGATAAATGGACGTCGCGTTACCATGCTACTGGATTCTGGGTCAACCCACGACTTCATTTCAACTGACCTTGTCAAGAAGCACAACATCTCCACAACAACCGGTAGCGACGTCCTGAACGTCACACTTGCTGATGGATCGGTCCGCTCACAGCCTATTACGAAAACGGACAGCTTGAAGACCGTAGTCGGCGACTTTAGCGAGCACCAACAGTTCCTAGTATTCCCTATGACGCGGTATGACGTGATCCTCGGCAAACCATGGCTGACCCGGACGAACCCACAGATCAATTTTCGTACCAATGAAATCAAGCTGGAGGGTGGATCCATCATCTGTCAACAGAGTGAAAGTGATGGCACGGACAAATCCAACCCACCGATCGAGACGTTCCTCATCTCAGGGAAGCAGGCTAGGCATGCAATGAGAGGTGGCGCAGAAGGAATCCTAGCGTATGTGACAGCAGATCCGGACGAGCCACAGACGGTGGATAGTCCGTGTAACAGTTCCCTGTTAGCGCTAACCTTATCTGCCCTCTAGCTCTGTATCTTGCACCTTTCCCTATCCTGTCAGCACGCGCGTTATCACCTTAGGGCACGAAGTGCCCTATATCAGTTGTGTTGCCTTGAGCAAGCATTGTCTTTTCCAAGAATACCTTCAAACGGTTACACTGGTAGCAGAGGATGGTTTGCTGTCCTCCTCCTCGTCGTCAGTAGCGTTGACCCACGCCAGGATTCCCTGCGCGCCTTTCCTCAACTCGCGGCGAGCCTGAGAACCAGATATGAGCATGCTCTCAATTGGCGGCGACTCCTGACGCTCCGTATCACTATTTTGGCTGGAAGGGGGTTTAGCAACGAGCGGCTCTCCGTTCAGTTTGACTTCGTTGGTCTGAAAGTTGATATCCGGGTTGTGTCTGGTCAGCCATGGCTTGCCCAGGATAGCATCATAGCGGCTCAACGGAAAAACTGTGAAAGATTAGGTGTCGCTGAAGTCTTTCACGATAACCTTTACCGGACCGGTCCTCTGCAGTTCCGATGATGTCGATGAGCCATCAGCCAGGGTTACCTTCAGTGTTTCGTCCTTGCTCTCCGTAACAAGGCCGTTTCTTTGCACGAAAGCTTCCGATATGAAGTCGTGCGTCGATCCCGAGTCAATAAGCATAATTGCCCGGCGGCCGTTGATCCTGCCCTCAACACGGAGAAGGTCATGCTCCAAAGGAAGCTCCGTGTCCTGTACTGCGATATCAACGTTGCTGACATGGGATTCCTGTACACCATCCCTCCCTCCTAAGCGAGGCACATGTGCCTCCAGGGAGTCGAGGAATATGTGGAAAGGGAATAATCAAAATGAAATGGTGTCAACCCAACAACGCTCATCTAATTGAAGTACCGTGCAAGGTAACCAAGGACAGTCAGGCGAGTGAAGATAACGGAAATGGGGAAAATCTAAAACAGGAGGGGAATGGATTGCTTAACACAACAAGGATCAAGTGGGAATTCTCAAGGTACACGTGCAATTGAATTTGAGCGAGTAACATTTCGCTGTAACCATAGTGTCACTAACATGCCCTGGACGCCCTGTAACGCCTCAGAGCAACTATCAAACAAGATAATTGGGACAAGCTTCTGCCTCTTTGCGAATTTGCAATTAATAGTTCATATCAGTCTTCCACTTCTAGCACGCCGTTTTATCTAAATTATGGACTTAATCCCAAGTCCCCACCAGATTTCCTGGCACGGAGGGGAGGAGGGAGTGCCCCAGACTGGATCCAGGATCGGGCGGATGCCGTCAAGTTGGCAAAGGACGCCATGATTGCCACTCAGGCTAGACAAGCTCAGTATGCAGACAGGGGAAGGGTGCCCAGCAACCTGAAGGTTGGCGACATGGTGCTGGTGTACAAGGATTTCCTAACAACCGCAGAAGCCCGGGATCAGCCTTCACAGAAGCTACGCCCTAAGTGGTTCGGGCCCTACCCAATCATCAAGAAGATCGGACCCAACGCCTATCAGCTGGATCTACCCAGCGCTATTCGGTGCCACCCTGTCTTCAATGTCACTGCTCTGCGCCGGTATGAGCAGAATACTATTCCCGGCAGGCGGCAGCCACCCCCGCCACCGTTCACTGACTTGCACGGTCAGACCAGATACATGGTGGAGAAGATTCTTGACGATCGCCAGCGAAGGCATCAGACTCAGTACCTTGTCAAGTGGCAAGGATACCCAGACGACGAAGCGACCTTGGAGCCAGAAGAGAACTTGCTGGACGAGGCCGGTAGGCCGATAGTTGCTCTGAGGCGTTACAGGGCGTCCAGGGCATGTTAGTGACACTATGGTTACAGCGAAATGTTACTCGCTCAAATTCAATTGCACGTGTACCTTGAGAATTCCCACTTGATCCTTGTTGTGTTAAGCAATCCATTCCCCTCCTGTTTTAGATTTTCCCCATTTCCGTTATCTTCACTCGCCTGACTGTCCTTGGTTACCTTGCACGGTACTTCAATTAGATGAGCGTTGTTGGGTTGACACGATTTCATTTTGATTATTCCCTTTCCACATATTCCTCGACTCCCTGGAGGCACATGTGCCTCGCTTAGGAGGGAGGGATGGTGTAACAGTTCCCTGTTAGCGCTAACCTTATCTGCCCTCTAGCTCTGTATCTTGCACCTTTCCCTATCCTGTCAGCACGCGCGTTATCACCTTAGGGCACGAAGTGCCCTATATCAGTTGTGTTGCCTTGAGCAAGCATTGTCTTTTCCAAGAATACCTTCAAACGGTTACAGTCCGGGTAGGGAGGATCAGAAGGATTTCAAGGACCTGCTGAAGGAGTTCGGGGACGTCTTTCCCGATGAGCTTCCAAACAAGCTGCCACCCAGAAGAGGCGCAGATCACGAGATAAAAACGGAAGAAAGAGCTAAACCGCCATCTCGTGCAGCATATCGTTTACCAAAACCAGAGATGGATGAGCTTCAAGCTCAGCTCACCGAGCTGCTCCGTAGAGGATTCATCCAGCCCAGCAAATCCCCATACGGAGCCCCTGTGTTCTTCGTAAAGAAGGCGGATGGAACACTTCGAATGGTATGCGACTGGCGTGAGCTAAACCGCATAACCATTAAGAACAAGGCATGCCTACCGAATATTGACGACCTCTTTGATACCGTCCAAGGCAGTGCGTATTTCACCAAGCTAGATCTGAGGTCCGGTTACAATCAGATTCGAATAGAAGAAACAGATATTCCGAATTCATTGCATTCCCAACTCATCACAACCACGCGCTCTTCAGCCGAACCATACAGACACCAGCAAGGACACTTCCGTTGAGAGATAATAATTATTGCTCCACGCCTCTAGACAGCTGTTTCGCTTCCTGTCGGAGCTCATCAGTAGAGGATGATAATGATGATAATGGAGGAATGATCATTCCTATACACCAGAA